CACTAGTTCTTTCAGATTTTGCCCCTATACCTCATTTCCTATTTCCCTTTCTTCCCACTACAACCGTTGTAATTGCTTCACCCTCACTCCTCACTGGATTATTGCCACAAAATCCAAACCCTCCTCCCACATCTGTGAATCAGTCCTCCTAACTGTAGCCAAATGGATTTTTCTAAAACAAAAATATCCTCAGACCAGTCTCCAGCATGAGTTCTTCAGGGGTTGTCCTCATCTGTGTGAAGAAAATCCAATCCCCCTGAGCATGGTAGACGAGTCCCTTCTTCAGGATTTGACCCAGTGATTCTAAACTCTGTATGGGTGCTCCAAACACTGAGAGCTTTAATGTCTGGTTTTCGTGGTCTAGGGCAGGTCCTGACATCGGAAGAATTGAAAAGACAGGGCTGAAAACCACTTAATTGTAACCCCTTCTGATGGCCCATGCATAACTCTTGCCAGATTTTACAGATTACTGAAGGATGCCAATGGGCCTTGCTCACATGACCTCCAAGTCAGACATACCTGCTCCCTTTCTCCCAGATGAATTTTACTCATTCCCCTGGACATGAGGTCCGAGATGCACCTTCCATAGGCATCTCTCTGGCCTTCCCACAAAGGACCAGGCTACACCCTCTGGAGCCCTGTTATGGATTGGATTATATCCCCCCTAAATATGTGTTGTAAATTCTAAACTCCTGGAGCTCTGGTAGCATAGTGGCTAAAGCACTTGACTGCTAACCAGAAGGCTGGCGGTTCAAACCCACCAGCCACTCCTCGGAAGGAAGGTTGGGCAATCCTACTTCCGTAGTGATACTGCCTCGGAAACCCAAGGAGGGGTCGCTATGAGTCAGGTTTGACTCGATGGCACATAACAACAACAACAACATACCTGTGGATATAATCCCCTTTGGGAAAAGTACTTTCATAGTTATGTTAAGACCATATCACCTTTGAGATATAAAAAGAGGAGATTAGGCACAGAGAAGCAAACACAAAGGGAGGGGAAGAGACATACCACATGAAGATCACCAAGGAAACTAGGAACCAACACTGAAAACAGACAAGGACCTTTCCCCAGAGTGGACACAGAAAGCCTTCTCGTTTAGCTGGTGCCCTAAATCCAGACTTTCAACTTCCTCAACTGAGAGAAAATAAATGTCTGTTTGTTAAACCTACCCACTTGTGATATCTGTGTTAAAGCAGCACCAAGAAACTAAGACGAGCTCCAAGCCAGCTCCTGAGGCTGGCTCCACAGCCCTCTGCAGGTGTGGCTAATGCAATGCAGGAAAGGATAGCATTTTCTTTATAAACTTTTCAGGCAACTACAGTGCATCTAAGCTAAGATTACATAAAATATTAGGTTGAACCATATTAAGTAAATATTTGGCCATTTTTGACTTACGAAAATAGCAATTTCATATGGCTCAATCTAACACTTTGTAATGGATTATAAAATTTACTCAAGAGAATTTGAAAAATAAAACAATAAAACCTTTAATTGAGCAGGTTTAATTTCTCTGAGATGCCTTTCTATAAACTATATAAATACTATCCATTAGACTAGTGGTTTTCCCAGCTTTATAGTGCATACAAATCAGCCAGGAATCTTGTTAAAATGGACCCTATAAGGCCAGAGGTGGGCCTGGAGTGTCTGAATTTCTAACCCACTTTCAGATGGTGCTGGTGCTGCTGGTCCAGGGCCAAATTTTGAGTAGCAAGAAATTAAATAAGAGGAACTAAAAGAAAATCGTAATCTTAAAAAAAAAAAAAAAAAAAAAAAAATTCACACCAGTGCTAAAATCACTAACCCCACTGCTGTGGATTCGGATCTGACTCATAGTGACCCTTCCTTGGGTTTCCGAGGTGGTATCACTACGGAAGTAGATTGCCCAACCTTCCTTCCAAGGAGTGGCTGGTGGGTTTGAACCGCCAGCCTTCTGGTTAGCAGTCAAATGCCTTAGGCGCTACGCCAAAAATCACCAATGGAGAAAAACAAAAATGTATTCTATTCTCAGATCAACCTTTGGTTTTTAATATTTCCACTGTCTGATTAATTATTAAGCCTCATTAACTTTATAGGATTTTTCTTAACTTCAGAAATAAAGTGCTATGATTTTTAAAAAAAGAAAAGGCTAAATGTAAGTTCTCTTAAGAAATTTGCCTATTTCTGAAAATGGAGGGGGAAAAAATAAAAAAGGACAATCTTTGGAGAAACTCCTGAAATTCTACTTTATGGCATAAAGTGTTGGTTATTTATTGTTCTTCTGAGGCTAATCTCCATGACACTTTGGTATGCTTCTAAAGGGCAAGGCTATTTTTATATAGTATTTCTGTCTCCTCAAACACACTTAGCATTTTATATATGTTCACATTGTTAACATTTAATAATATATTAATACTTTTCTTGTAGCTACATAGGAAAAAGGACAATCTTCAAACTAAATCACGCTTCCAATTAATTCTTTATCATAGATACCTGAGTTTGTTTCACACAAGGTTTCAAAAACTATGGAAATACAATATTCTGAATAAATATTAAAATGATAAAAAATTTGTGTATTAAAGTATATTTTATAATTATACATGTGTTAATTTGAAATAAGATATAATATACTAATGGAATAAATAAAAGGATTAAAAGTAGTGTGAATTTTGGTAGACTGTGAGGAAAAGAGACTAAGCAATAAATAACTTTAATTAATAATTGAAGCAATCCAAATAGCACCAGCAAGTACAATGAAAATGTCTCCCTGAGACTTTGTTATCCCCCCTCAATCGGGTACTTTCTCCTGGTCCCTTAGACAGTGCTTATGGAATGACAGTTTGATTCTTTAGACACAAAGCCTAGGAAAGGCTCCCTAAAACATTTCCCTGTAGACAAACATATCTCCTCTTCCCTAAGCTACAAAAATGAAAGGAAATGAACAAAATTATTTTCAGTATAAGACACTGTAGAGTCAAGTCTAATAAATACAACAAATCACTGACACGTAGTGTGCATAAAATTTTCACCTTGGAGGAGCCAAGATGGTGCCAGAGTTAGACACTGTATCATCCCTTTCCAACACAGTCTTGTATAAACAAGCAAAAACAGACACAAATAGCAACTCAGAACCTCTGGACATCAAATAAAGGACTGAATACTGACAGAAGGCAAGAGGGAACAAGAACAGTGAGAGAGCAGAGAATTGTGGATCAACCACAACCTGCTTGCTTGTTCAGAGTAATGTGGCCATTTTGGTGTGGCTACAAGCAGTAACTGTGAGTGATGAGCCCAGGAAGAAATCGTGAAGAAATGCAAAGCCTGAGACAGAAAAACTGCATAAACAACTCTGTAAGGAACAATGACATGGGCAACCAGTGTACTGGGTCTGGGCACATTGGAGAGAATGACACACAGAAGTAACACTTATTGAAAGCAGGGAACCACAGGGAAGAGCTGCAGGAGTAAAGGGTTATGGTTGGATTAAAAGAACTACAAGCCAAGAGACAGATCAATCGGGGAGTGCACATTTTCAGAGGAGTAAAGGGAAGGTAAAGGAGGGATGTGCTTGAGCCCAGATGGCCTAGTGAGCACAGAGAATGAAGGGAAGCGAGGTTGGTCATGTACACAAATGTGGAGTGCTCCCTCCTCCCACTGACACCAAGTCATTAGTGCACAGGCCACCAAAAAATACCTGGAAACTAAGTAACATACTACAGAAAAACTATTAGGAGCCCTGGTGGCACAACAGTTAAGCACTAGGCAGAGACTTGAACCCATCAGGGGTTTCACAGAAGACATGGTGATCAGCTCCCGTAAAGACTACAGCACAGGGAACTCTATGGGGCATTTATACTCTGTCATATGGGGTGGCGATGAGTCAAAATTCAACGTGGTGGTACCCCAAAACAACAAAAACAAAACAAACTACTGGGTCATAGAGGAAATCAAAAGTGAACTAAAACGTTCATCTTAAAAATATTGCTTGCTCTTTTGACTTTTAACATGGGCTCTACCATCACCTGAAGGATAAGCCTGGCTGGAATTCAGACTTCCAGGGAGAGATGGTCAGGCCTGATATCCATGTAGATTTAGTCAGCCCCTGAAGCAAACTAAGCTCTCTCCAGAGTGGGGCCTGGCCCTCAGGGGTAATGAGTGAATGGAAGAATAACTGCTAAAGGCTGGGGCAATTTTAACAGATTATAATTACATACACAATTTTAATAGTCCAAATTCAATCAGCTATTAATAAAAATAACCAAGTCTCACACTCCTATTTTAATCAAAACCAGTATTTCTCTGCATGATCCTTTTTCTGTCTCCATGAGATACTACCTGCCAGTGATGCTCATTAAATACAACAGATTTCCCAGCTCCACTGAATCAGGCTCTGGGGGCGAGGCCAGGCAATTGAATTTTAACCAGCTCCCGAGGTGAAACCACTTCTTAACTACCATTTAGCACCTTCTTAAGGCTTGAAAAAGCAACAGGTTAGGCTTTAAAAAGCAGTTTCTTCACACTTTAGGATTTCAGTTACAGAAAAGCTCATTCTTAGCTTATGCATGTCAACATGAAATCCATATCCCAGTTGAGCAGCATTTTATTAATGTGTAACACTACCTTATTTAGTAGGGAAATCCTTGTGGTTTCTTCCCTTGTTCCACATACATTGTGCTACTGCATCCCTATTTCTTTCCCCAGCTGGTAGCTGGTAACTTTTTCACATGTGGAAAATTTTAGTCTCTCTGGCCCAGATAGAAAGATGAGACTTTTAGGTAACCATCCCCTTTGGCAAACCTTTACTTCAATCTTAACTTTCCAACATGGCTGATCTGACTTCTGGACCTTCATCAGGCATGACTGTGCACGGCTGAAGGCAGACCTGGAAACCTCACAGAAAAGCACATTCACCTGGATGAAGTGACACCACCATCCCTTTCCAAAGCAACTTTCTCATTATGATTTGTCTGATTCATACATCTCGAATTCTGTTCTGTTCATCAGGTCATTCGTGTCTGTTTTACTCACTTTTTAATTTGCCACTCCTGTCATCATTATAGCGAGGTTTCTTTACTGACATGATGAAAACAGCCACTAAAGCTAATGCTGCCCCCAGACTAGGTGGGCCACAAGGGCTAACCTCCTGGACAACTCCTGACAGGAGAGGGGCGATGATGCGGCCCACCGCTGTAACCGACTGCCCCACACCTATGAGCGTGCCACTGGCCTGTGCCCCACCCACGGTCAGCTGGAGGTCTGTGATACAAGTCCTGCCAAGAGTAGTGGAGAAGGACAGGAGGGTAGAAGAGAAAACCACCATACCCATGTTGTGAGCCATAGAGTAGAGCAGCAGCAGCATGAAGGTGAGAAGGCTGGAGTGCAGCAGGATCATGTGCAAGTTGTGCTTGTACAACCTCATGACGGGTCCCAAGGCAAAGCTGGCCAGGGCCCCCAGGGCGTTGCTGTAACTTATCAGGTAGCCTGTCATCTTGGGCCTCACCCCAAAACGCTCCTCGAGGGCCAAGACAAAATTACTATAGTACAGCATGACCGCTACAGCCATCAGCAAGCGCACTAAAAATATGTCCCACATTTCACAAAATATCAGGCTTCTAATGTCCCATAATGCTGATGTGACTTCGATCCAGGGGCGCCGAGGCATCTTCTCACTTGGGGTGGCCCCACAGACTGTGGTTGCATCTTGCATTTTATATTGTGCCTTTTCTGAAAGTGCTTGGTTCTTATCCAATTGCAGGCTGTTCTTTGTAGTGTTGAATTTTACTTTACTCCATGGAAATAGCCAAACAAGACCTGTACAATGGCACAAGATCAGTTAAAGTAAGTTAAATGCAGGAAAGTCATACAATGCTTCTTCAGGGGATGAGCAGTCATTTGTGTTAGACTACTAATCAGCATTTATATGGTTTTCCACCATTCCCACCACTCCTTCTACTCCATTTGATGTCGAGATTCTGGCGAAGGACTTGCTAGCCAACCAGTGGTCTCTGATAGTCTTCTACATCCAATTATTTCATATCTGAATTCTTATGATTTAAATTTAATTTCTTCCCTTCATTAACTTTCTAATTTTCTACCTATCCACCATTTGCCTACCCATCTATCAAATATTTATGGAGTGCTTTTTAAGTGCTAAATTCTGTGGTAAACATCAGGAATATGTTAACAAACAGGACAGGGCTATCAAATCCCAGCCTTCAAGGAATTTACACCTAAAAGGTGCTTCAGAGACAGACAAACAGGTAATCACAGTGTAAGCGCTAACTGGAAGAACAGGGACAGCAGCCTCGGCTTGGGGGTGGGTAGGGCCAGCTTGACAGCAATGACTATCAGAAAGCACTTCTCTGGCTCTTTCTCCTAGTTAGGACCAGCTTTAGCTGGTAACAACCAGCAAAATGGGGGCTCCATCCTCACAGATCCTCACTCAGGAGCTCAAGCAGCAGTGCTGAGCCCAACTCAGATTATGCTCCCTCAGCTAGCTCTCCATGACCATCATCTCTCTGCCTTTGCTGTTTCTATCCCATGCCATCCAACTAGAATGATCTCTTGCCAATCTATGCCCCAAAAGTGTCTTAGAACTAAATTCTAATTTGCCATTCTAGGGCAACTCCAAATGAATCCTGACTGATTTTCTTCAGTGCAAGTTCAATTAGACAAGTGGCTGTTCAATGATGCTTTGTGTTGTTTTCAGTAATTTCATTTGTGTGTGTGGTTTCTCCGAATACAGCATAGGTACTTCCTTCCGCCCACAGGCCAATTTATGGCAGAAACCTAACCACATGAGAAAGCAGATCTGGATTTTTCATCTATTTATATCTTTACAGGGGCTAGTGGAAGTTTCACAGAATCTTGATAAAAATGTGAAACAATTGTCACTGATAGAATATTATTAAATAGTAAAAATGGTAATAATGATGATAGCAACTGGCATTTATTGCTTAATGCATAACCTCTTGTAGTTCTCGCATTGACTGAGTTTTTGTTTCCCCCCTTTTTATAGACAAGGAAATTGAGGAATAGAATAATTTGCACAAGCCCACACAGGGATTTGAATCCAAGTGTGTTGGACTCCAGAATTTGAATTCTTAACCATGAGAAGAGAAATCATGGCAAAAAGATATGTAAAGGCCTTTTGAGGCAAAATGGCAGGTCAGAGCAAGGATCTAAGATGCTGGGGAGAGGTTGAGAGGGTATAGGAAAACAGTTATCATCACTGGGAAGAAAAATATGTAAAAACTGGAATGGAGCAACAGCAATACATTGTGCTTATACCCTTGGAAGGCCAGAGACCTCTGTGACCTAGACATGTGGCCTAGACCATCTAGGCCTCATCTCCCATTCCTTCTCTGCTAATAAAAGCCTAGTCTGTGTGATTAGCAGTGCTGTCCAATAGAAGTTTTTACAACTATGGAAATGTTCTGTAACTGCACGATCTGATATGGATGCCACTATCCTCATGTGCAGGAGCTCTGGTAGCATAGTGCCTAAGGCACTTGACTGCTAACCAGAAGGCTGGCGGTTCAAACCCACCAGCCACTCCTCGGAAGGAAGACTGAGCAATCTCCTTCTGTAG